ATAATAATAATAATAATAATAATAATAATAATAATAATAATAATAATACACACACAATGGTCTCCCATGTTTACTTGTGCTAAACGTCTCCCGCCCACCTCCTAGACAAGCAGGAAGCAGGGAGAGCGCAGCTGAGGGGCTAGGTTTGTATTCGAGGGAGGAGGGGGCTGTGTTGGAGAAAGAAGACAACAGGAGGATTTTTAAGTATAACACGACAGTACATCGTTTATATCGATATAGTCTCATCTTATATCGCAAAAACAATTATCTCGATATTTTTAAAATATCAAGATATCGCCCAGCTCTCCATCTCTTCCACCTCAGATGCCTGAGACTTCAGGCTCCCACCCAAGGTGCTCAGGAACAGCTACACCTGCACCACTGACAGCATCTTGAGCGAGAGCATCACCACCTGGATGGACAGCTGCACAAAAGTGGACTTGAAGGCAAAACAGCTCTTTCCAACCTGCAGGTCATTTATTACAGAAGGTGCAGGTTGAAGGCTGAGAAGATCCTCAAACTACCCAACCACTGGACATTCACTCCACTCCTTGGTGCCATCAGGTTTCACAGCCTTAGAGCGAGCAAGGAAGAGCTTCTTCCCTCAGATTGTACACCTGCTCAACTCTGAGCAATAAGAATCAGTCCTTACATATTTGCAGATCTTTGGATGCACGTACAACAAATTAACATATGTGATTGTGACCGTTTACTTTTGTACTCTGATATCAAAGTTCAGACGAGAAGTCTCCCGATCCTCAGATGCCTTCAACTTGTTCAAACTGCAACAGCCCGACATTTAACAAACACTCCCAGATGCAAGAATGTCAGTTTTATTTTTCTTCATGAAGCATTTGGTGCACGTCTTAGCTTTTGTTAAGGACTCCAATACAACATTGATGGCTGTCTTATGTGCAGGCCATTCCAATCAGCATTACATACTGAAGGTTCTTCCCCCACCATGTTGCCAACATTTAAAGCTCGATAAACTTCAAAAATGCACACATACTAATGCAGCATTTCCCTGTCAACTTTCCATTGGCCGAGACAGGGAAGTTTCAGTTCATGAATTGTCTTCAAAAACTAAAAGTGAAATCAGATGTTTGGACATTTCTTTTGTTGCCGAGATGTTTTGTCTTTCAGTCGGAGGAGCCCAAACTGAATCCCACAAACAGCTCACTTAGAGTGGAGCAAAAAAAAAAAAAGTTTGCTGGTGATAAGATGACCTCTGGGGCCCGCCCTCTCCCAATTCATTTCAGTTTATAGTGACAAGTCACAACACAAGTCATCTCAGGGCACTGAACAGAAACATATAAAAAAAAATTTGAGCAGACTTTGAATTAAACTCCACAGAACTCATCTAGAGTAAACATGGTGACAGGAAAAACTCCCTCATAAGAAACCTTTGGTAGAACCAGGCTCAGGACAAGCAGCCATCTGCTTCAGACTTAACAGATACAATGGCAGGTCAAGAATCACATGTTGGAAACAAGTTTACTGTTAAATTTTAAAATCATTTAAGGAAATTAGGTCCGTTTGTCCTCCATTAGTCTAAGCTTAAGAAAAATCTTAAGCCCATTTTTAAACCTGACAGTCAAGTCTTTAGGCAGAAACTGGAAGTTGGTTCTAGAAGAGAGCCAGCTCCCTCCCATTCTGCTTTTGGAAGCTCTAGGGACCATAAGTAAGCCTGCCTTGCTTCCCAGCAAGTCCTTTAAAGGCAGTCATGCCAAAGTGGTTCAAAACTAAGTTCATGCTCATTAATCCAGGTATAAAGCCATTTGTTTGCTTTATACCTGGATTAACATGAACTTTTTAAATCGATGCAGGTTTATGGTCAAGACCAGCTAGACTGGTGATGGAGAGCCTACTAAACATAAGTGCATTGTAAGGACAATTTCAGTGCATATCAGTAAAAAAGTAAATTTTATTTAAAGACATTTAAAATAGATTAACACCTTTTTTGGAGACATTAGAAACATTCACTCTGCTGCAGCTTGATCCTGGTCCAACCAGCCTCTAGATTGACCTTTTGAGTGTAGGGACTGGTGCTACCATCTACCAAGGAGCAGCTGAAGGGATCTGAAGCTGCTGCTTCTGGACAGTCACTTGGTTCTAGTAAGAAGGTCATTTCAGACGTCTGATAGCAAAGCCACCAAAGGTTGCAGGGATCTCGTAAACTGTAGCCAAGGAAAAACCCTGACCAGGAGCTCCCACAGTGCGGCTCCTGGGGACAGCCAGATGTTTGCTGGTTTTGTAGGTCTGCAACCAGCTTTTGGGTCTGGATCCTCCTTGATGACCCACAGAGGGTTTCAAAGCCTGGGTGTGAGGAGAGAACCTCTTGGCCTTCTGTCCTTCAGATCTACGTTTTGAGAACACCCTTTTAGCAGGACCGCGGGCATATGTCTGCATCAGTACAGGGCGTCCACGTTGTCCAGGAGCAACTGGGCCAAACAGACGAGAAGAGGAGCCCACCTCGCTGAAACGGACTGCAGCAGCCCTGGAAGGTTGACGTGGTGCAGGTCTGAAGGAGAAAGTCGGTCTGGAAGCCAAAATGAGATTCTTGCTAGGACGCTGCATCCCCCACAGAGCAGGCCAGTTTCTTCCGTTGATAGAGGGGTTCTTCTGGTTCAGACTCACTGAAGGTCCACCAGCAGAAGGGTGGAACGACTGCCTTGCTGCTTTTGGAGCATCAGCCCTGGGTGACAACAACCTTTGCATGTTCGCTTTGGCTGCAAAGCTGCTCTTCAGTCTAAATGAACTCTGGGATGCAGCTTGTGTAGAGCTCCTAGTAGAGAGTCCTGGACCAGAACCACTGGGAACTGCAGGACCAGTGTTTGAGCTCCTGCTCCGGACAGAGCTTTGAGAAATGAAGCCTTGTCTGACTCGATCCTGGGGATAGCTGCCAGATTTGATCAGGCTGCTGTCTGGTGGTGGGAAGCCAACATGTGGGTTGCTGCTCTGGAAGCTCTGAGCTGGAGGAGGATGAGACAACATGAGTCCACTGCGATGAGACATTGGACCAACAGCTGACATTCCTGTCCTTACCTCCTTTAGTCCAGAGACAACATACATGTTCTGCTTGCACCAAGACCACCACCAAGATCCTGTTCAGGAAATAAAGCAGAAACATTAAAAAGAAAAGTGAATGTTTCAATCAAAGCAACAGACACTCACCCCAAACCAAGTCCACAAGTCATTTCTGGATCTCTGCTCAAGGACTAGCCTGCAGGCCCTGGCTCTGTGAGTGGTACTGAAGTGATCTGGTATTTATTGGAACCTGGAGCCAATCACTGCTCAATTATTTGATTGTCTGCAGGTGCTGCTGATCTGGAGTCAAGAGTTCATCTCATTTGTCTCAACTTTAGGATTCATCCTGAGATCATGCACTTTTATCACAGGTTGTTGTAAATGTTCACTTTTTTTTTTTGCTTTAATGGATAGAGAACCTTCTGATATTTTAAATGTAACTTGTTAGTGATCATGGTTGACTGCAGCTTGTAGTTTCTCTTTGCCACCAAGTAAAACAATTTATTTAACAGCATTTATTAGATTCACTCACGCCCAGAACAAAGAGAAAGTTTAAACAGTGAAGACCTTAGAAAATGAGGAAACTGGTTGAGATGTTTGGACACAATCTAGAAACCATCCAGGCTCAAGCCTGCCATGAACTGGAAACTTCTGCTGGATCAACATGTCTGTGTGCAGTGAAGCTCCAACAGTGGCACGTTCAAACCCGACAGCAGCTGTCCTCATGGACAAGACAAATGTCTTCTGGAGAAAAGTTCATGGTCAGGTGAGACAGACACTGGCTTATCTGACAAGACCTCCAAATCCTATTTTACTTGAGTTTGATGGTTACACTTGGACACAGTCCAGTTGAGTTCCAACAAGACCATGAGCCTGAACACACCTGAACTGGTTTCTGATTAGATACATCTCATCACTCCCATAAAAAAGAGTTGAACTCAGTAATTAACAGCCAAACATTCAGATACATTCCTGCTCAGGATGAGTGTGAAACTTCTGACCGTAGAGCCAGATGTTAACATTTATTGAACTTTCACTGTGTCAAAGTAACTTTGAAATAAATCGTGTATTTTACTCTTCAGGCAGTGAAGATCTAAATGAAATGATTCATAAAAACTGTCTTCTGTGCCACGTTTAGCTTCATGACGCAATAAAGTAAAATTTACTAACGTTGTGCATTTCCCACCAAACATCAGTGACGTAAATATAAAATAATTACTGTAATGTTTGGCTCTCTGTCTCCAGAGCAAAGAAGCCTCCAACACCTGTCACCTGGCCAGCCTCCTGCTGCTGAAGGTCAGTCAGAAAATCACAACCTGTTTTTCTGCTCAGTGTCGTGTGACGTAACTCTGGACCTCTCCTAAAGGTCAGCATCTGTCAGCATTTTGGAGCCGTGAGGTCAGAGATGTCATGTCTGCAGCAGCTGTGCAGCCTGCTGCCCTTTAACCCCTGGCACTGGTTCAGTCTGGGACAGATGTGTTTACAGCAGCTGGACAGCCACACAAGCACAGGTACAGTTCAACATCCTGTAGTTATCGAAGCCCAGAGGTTTCCTTCATGTCTGGGTTTTTATCTGAACCGACTGATGAGCTAACAGCTAGTCTGAGCAAGGCTAAGACAAAAGTGGACCGCAGCCGTCTTAAAGTAACTCCAAACTCAGAACGTTCATAGCCGCTCATGCAAACGCTTTTTTCTAAAACTTTCAGTGTAAATATCATATCAATATCCGATTACCGTATTTTTCAGATTATATGGCACAATATCAACGAACGGGTCTGTTTTCATACATAAAGTGCACCAGATTATAAGACGCATTAAGCGAAACAGAACAGCCAGACAAGTCAAACTTTATTCAGCTCATTCACAATAACTCAACATTGTTCATGTAACACATACAATACACTCACTTTTTCAGTTCATTCCTCTTCCACAACTCCATCAAAATCTTCATCTTCAGGGTCTGAGTTTAACCAGAATTAATACATAAGGTGCACCGGATTATGAGGCTCACTGTCGATTTTTGAGAAAATTAAAGGATTTTAAGTGCGTCTTGTAGTCCGAAAAATACAGTAGATCAAAGTGATCAGTTTAAGATCCACTGTTGAAAAGAGTTTTAAATTCCTACAGTCAAGTCTTTGTTGAACAGATGTTGCTGAACGTGTAGATAAAATGTGAGAATGGGTTTGTTTTTTGCCTCATGCTAACAGAACCAGCAGGAGAGCCTGAGGAGGAGCAGGAGGAGGCAGCAGAGCTCAGGGAGGATCAGATGTGGCTCAAAGCTTGTATCTGTTTCATCAGGACGAGGTAGGGCTCACAATTTAACACAACTAATGAAACAACAACCTGCCCCAGTGTTCAGGAATAAAGTTATTCAAACATCTGAAGATAAACTGTCTCCTAAGTATTCATGAAAGAGTACCTCGTGATTCACTAACTGTTCTTTAAGGCACACATCAGCTGACCTGCGCATGTGATTTTTAGGATTTCCTGCACACTAACAAATGTAATGTTGCGTTCAAGGCTGGTGAAAAGCTGGGACATTTGGACGTTTTACTTATTGAGCTTTTTACAGGAACACATCCAAAGAACCCAAAGGTTCAGAACAGTTCCAGGATGTTTGACGTTCAACTTTTGGCCCTTTGCACCTGCTTTTTTATTGACTTTTATGTACAAACATTTATAAGTTAGTTTTACTGGTATTTTACTTTGTGTTAGCGAAATGTCCCCGATGTTTAATGTTGCTCTTTGTCAGAATGACATCAGAGCAGCTGAAACACTCGTAGATATGGATCCACGCCAACCCTTGAAAAAGGGGAACGCAAACATGAAACATTTCTCTTCATTTTTTGTCAGATAAGAAGCCCATGATCTGTGATAATAATAAATATACACAAACAACAAATTAAAATGGCATAAAAGACACAGAAGTAGGCACAAATCTATCTAGACCACAATGCTTTGCAAAAATACCAACTTTGAGCAGCGCATTAGTAACTGTACAAAGGTCAGTGAGTTGGGAACCGTGTATTTCTGACTCCTAACCCCATATTCAAACACACATGATTGCTTCAATGTTTCTGGTTTCCAAAAATGTTAATTTTGTGGACTGAACCCAAAATGTATTTTTTTTTCTAGCTTTTTTTTTTTCCAGCTTCTCCCTGCGTTAGGGGCTGCCACAGCGAACTAAGTCGAAAATTTTCAGAAATTGTTCATGTCTGAAATGAATAAGTTCTGTTTAATATAATAAATGGTATAAACCAGTTGAATCCCAGCAGCAGTAACTGTTGCCTTCATGTTTTCTACGTGGATGTGTAGCTCACACTTTATCTTCAGAGGATGGACACAGCGGTGGTCTCACCATCGTATCTGTCCTCTGGTAGAGGATAGTGCGTCGCCACTAGAGGGCGCTGCTGCTCTTAATTTACAGGCAATTTCTACAGAAGAAGAATAACCTACCATGTTAGGAAAGTTCATTTCAGCTGTTCAGATCACAAAGTTAAAGTGTTTGAACTCTAGTAAGGTCAGTGTAAGTGGGTGAGCTTTAATGACGGTGCCAAGTCAGAAATACTTTGTTTCCAGTTACCAAATAAATCTGGTTGATTCTCAGCAGTCTTGAATGCAGCATTAAATTTGCTGATCGGTGCGCAGCAGTGGACCCGTGCATGTGCATTTGAAAATATATAATATTTCTACTTGTGTAGTCTGATTGTGTACATTAGAGAAACTATATTTGTAAATGCTGTACACCTTCATATAAAAGTCCTCTGCCACAGCAGCTGCTCACGTTAAGAACAGGAACTTATAAGAGCAACATTTAATAATGAAATGACTTCTGCTTTACAAAGAACAAGAATACTTTGACTTTTTTAAATTCATTTTTTAAAATATATATGATCTTCAAATATCAGCTGTCTCACACACCATGTTTAAGTCTTGAACTGGTCTCCATGCTGCCTCCCAGACTCCTGCTGAGAGTCCTTCAGCAGCAGCAGTCCTCCTTCGTGCTGCAGCGCAGTGAAAAGGCCCTGCACACGACAGACGAGGCCTTACAGCACCTGAATCCTACACAAGCTACACTGCAGACGCTCACTCAGGTCAGAACTGGTTTTAATTTGAAGGGTAAAGAATCCCATCTTTCCACCACGGTAACATGACATCTCTTGGATTGTCCAGGTGATGTCAGAGGACCTGGTCCCAGAGAAGATGAAGGAAGACTTCCAGGACGGGGAAAGTCTGCTCAGTGTGTCGCCGCAGAGCTTCAGAGAGCGCTGGTGGAACAAGGTCTTACTGACTGGGGTGTTTGAGATGCGCCAGCTCCAGGAAACGTCCTAATGCTCCGAGACTGAATGTTTGCAGAGAAGACAGCAAAGAGTTCTTACATTTATTTACTTAAAGTCTTGAAAAAGTTAAAACCACAAACAAACTACCGTGTCGTTTAAAAAGTGAATGTAAATAAACAGTGAACTTGAATGATGTCCTAGATTTTTACTGATTATTCTACAGTACTGTGTCAGTAAAATGTTTCATTGGGATGATGTTTAGTATGTGTACTTATATTTCTTTTATATTTTCAAGTAAAGAAGCTGCAAATAAAAACCTTCAGTAATCAAGACAGTAAAGAACATAAAATGAACACTGTGCATTAAATGTAAATATAATAAAAATAGTTTCATATGTGTGGAATAAAAGAAAAAAGACCAGATGTATTTTGATGAGAATTGATGTCTGTGTTGTCATTATTCCTACAGACTGCAGCTGACTGACGAGTGACGCTACTGAAGAGACTAACCAGCAAAGCTCCCCTGAATCTTTCACGTAGAAGGTTCTAATCAAAGTTCTGACATGCAGCATTTAGTTTTCCACAAGAGGTTCAATCATTGTTTTAGTTCTTAAAAATGTGTTTTTAATTTTTCAGAACAGATAAAAGGAAAAAGATTCATTACTTCAGATGTGTCCTATGATGCTGCCTTAACTCAGGCCCTGACAGCCTCTGATGCCAACAAGAGGATTCTGTGCAGGTCCCAGTTTGAAGGAATCCTATTCTGTGCAGGTCCCAGTTTGAAAGAATCTTTTTCTGTGCAGGTCCCAGTTTGAAGGAATCCTTGGACGTTCAGAAGACAGGATGATTAGGTGTGATTGAAGCAGTGATAGATGGTCATCTTGGATGAACATCAACTGGAAACCTGTAGTAAAGCTACATCGAATTAGTGAAATAGAAGTTGAAGTATTAATACTCAAATAATCAAAGTGCAGTTTAATAATAATTATATAAAAGATTAAAACAAAAGTAATACCTCAAAACAATGTAAAATTAGAAAATATCCCAAAAAGAAATGCAGCGAACACTATCATTAAAACATAAAAGCAACAATCAGAGTCAGAGATTCTTTATTGTCATTCGCACCTCATGTGGTACATGTGGTGGAGTGAAATTATGTACACGGGGTCCCAGTTACATCCAACAATAAAATTTATAAGAAAAACTAATAACATCTAAGATATGAACTAAGAAAAACATCAACTAAATATACACTAAGTACTCATAACATAAAAACATTGAACATCAGCACAAACATGAACATGAGTCTGTGAGCAGATGTGCACGCATGAACACATCAACATTGAAACAGATCAGCAGCAACATGAAACAGATCAGCAGCAACATGATATGGTTTTTCACAGTGATTATTCTAGTTAGAGATTCATGAGTCTAACAGCCTCAGGGTAGAAGCTGTTCCTCAGTCTAGTGGTTCTACACTTAATGCTCCTCAACCTCCTGCCTGAGGGGAGTGGGGCAAAAAGTGTGTGTGCTGGGTGAGTGGGGTCCTTCATGATGCAGGTGGCCCTCTTCCTGCATCTAGAGGTGTAGATGTCTGTGATGGTGGGGAGGCTGATTCCGACAGATTTCTGTGCAGCCTTCACCACTCTGCAAAGCTTTTCTTTCTGCAGCTGTGCAGCCTCCATGCCACACGTTGATGCTGGAGCACAGGATGCTCTCCACTACACACCTGTAGAAGGAGGTGAGGACTGAGCTTCCCAGACCAGCTCGCCTCAGCCGTCTGAGGAAGTAGAGTCTCTGATGAGCTTTCTTGATCAGGCTGGTGGTGTTGTTGCTCCAGCTGAGGTTGTCATTCATGTGTACACCCAAGTACTTGTAGCTGGAGACCACTTCCACCGCAGATCCTCTCATGTTCAGTGGGGTGTAGATGTTTTAGTTCCTTCTGAAGTCCACAATCATCTCCTTTGTCTTCTTCACATTGATGTGAAGGTTATTCTCTTTGCACCAGCTCTCCAGGTGTTCCACCTCTTGCCTGTAGCTGGACTCATCATTGTTTGTGATGCATCCCACCACCGCTGTATCATCTGCAAACTTTACAATGTGACAGCCTGGATGGGTAGCTGCACAATCATACGTGAGCAGAGTAAACAGGCTCAACACACATCCCTGAGGAGAGCCAATGCTGAGGGTTATGGTGGAGGAGGAGAGGTTGTGGATCCTCACTAACTGGTCTGTTTGTTAAGAAGTCTAGTACCCAGTGGCAAATGGAGGGGCTTAGCCCTAGTGTGGATAGTTTGTCCATCAGGGTTTGGGGGATCATGGTGTTGAAGGCGGATGTGAAGTCCACAAAGAGCATACGGACGTAAGAGTTTTTCTGCTCCAGGTGGGTGAGAGCAGTGTGGACCACAGAAGAGATGGCATCCTCTGTTGATCGGTTCTCACGGTATGCATACTGATGAGGGTCCTCGTTGATGTTGATGGTTGTTTTGATGTGAGTCATGACCAGTTTTTCGAAGCATTTAGCGACTATCGGGGTGAGGGCCACTGGCCGATAGTCATTCAGACCAGTCACTGTAGAGCTTTTTGGGACTGGGATGATGGTGGCAGTCTTCAGGCAGGTGGGAACTGTCTCCAGGGTAAGTGAGGTGTTAAAGATGTCTGCCAGCACCTCACAGAGATGATCAGCACATTCCTTCAACACTTTTCCGGGGATGTTGTCTGGGCCAGTTGCTTTGTGCGGATTAATCCTCCTGAAGGTACTCCTTACTTCTGCTGAGGTCATGCTGAGATGCTCTTCATCCGGTGGTGAGGTGAGTCTGGTGCTGGGTTGTCTGCTCGGGTCTTCAAAGCGTGCATAGAACTTGTTGAGGGCATCAGGCAGAGATGGGTCTTTGGGGCATTGTTCGCTCCATCCATCCATCCATCCATTATCTTTACCCGCTTATTCCATTTTGGGTCACGGGGGTCGCTGGTGCCCATGTCCAGCAATCACTGTGCGAGGGGCAGGGTACACCCTGGATGGGTCGCAAGTCCATCACAGGGCCACACAGAGACAAACGAGACAAACAACCATTCACTTTCTCACACCTAGGGACAATTTAGAGTTACCAATCAGCCTAACATGCATGTTTTTGGTCTGTGGGAGGAAACCGGAGTACCCGGAGAAAACCCACGCATGCACGGAGAGAACATGCAAACTCCACCCAGAAAGGCCCCTGGACCGGGGTTTGAACCAAGGACCTGCTCGCTGAGAGGCAGCAGCTCTACCAGTTGCGCCACCGTGCTGCCCGCATTGTTCGCTCCTTCCTTTATAATCTGTTATGCACTTAATGCCCCTCCACATGCTCCGAGGGTCTTGTGAGATGAATTGACCCTCGATCCTCTGTGCATATGTGGCCTTGGCCCTCTTAATACCAGCAACCAGCTCTTTCCTTGTCCTACTCAGCTCCTCTGAGTTTCCAGACCTGAAGGCAGTGTTCCTGGCTTCCAGCAGGGTGCGCACCTCTGCATTCAGCCAAGGTTTTCTGTTTGGGTAGCTTTTAACATTTCTGATAGTGGAGACGGTTTCAGTACATGTACTAATGTAACCCAGAGCTGAGGATGTGTATTGGTCAAGATCAAGCGAACCTTGTATGTTGTAATGTAAAAAAAATTATCTGAATAAATATTTCACTCAGTCCGGAGGAGACGCCTCATTCCCGACTGGACTTGCTACAGATTCTGCCTTTTGTAACGTCTGACAAAATTGTTTTAGTTTGGATGTACAGAGCAAAAACACAAGTTGCACGAGTAACATTTAGTATTTAAAAAATCTGTTAAGCATGCATGCAGGCTGCAGACTCGGATGCACAATGGCTGAGACAGACGTAACTCCCATTTTTTATTCTGAATAAGAATAAGAAGGCCGCGCTATTTATTTATAGCCGCAGCTTCGTGCACTCTGCCCATCTTTCGGAAGACTGTACGTACATATTCTCGTTGTATCTCGGTGCAATGATAATAAATATTATTCTGATTCTGATTAGCTTCCCCCAAACGTGCACATCATTAGCGGGTTCACTGTGCTGCGTAGCTCACTGAAAAAAATAAAATAAAATACAACAACAGTGTTTCTACTATGGGTCAGTTAAAAATAAGAATTGAAAAACCTTCTTTCTTTCGTATGTTTGTTCTTTTCTTTGATTTATAAAATATTTTGATTTTTTTATGTTAGAAATGCAGAGGTTGTTTTAAACAAAATACAAAACGGATTCCAAAAAAGTTGGGACACTAAATAAATTGTGAATAAAAACTGAATGCAAGGATGTGGAGATGGCAAATGTCAATATTTTATTCGTAATATAACATAGATGACAGATCAAAAGTTTAATCTGAGTAAATGTAACATTTTAAAGGAAAAATATGTTGATTCAAAATTTCACAGTGTCAACAAATCCCCAAAATGTTGGGACAAGTAGCAATAAGTGGCTGGAAAAAGGAAATTGAGCATATAACGAACAGCTGGAAGACCAATTAACACTAATTAGGTCAATTGACAACATGATTGGGTATAAAAAGAGCTTCTCAGAGTGTCAGTGTCTCTCAGAAGCCAAGATGGTAAGAGGATCACCAATTCCACCATTGTTGCGCAGAAAGATAGTGCAGCAGTACCAGAATGGTGTTACCCAGCGTAAAATAGCAAAGACTTTTAAGTTATCATCATCAACCGTGCATAACATCATCAAAAGATTCAGAGAATCTGGAACAATCGCTGTGCGTAAGGGTCAAGGCCATAAAACTCTGCTGGATGCTCGTGATCTCCGGGCCCTTAAACGTCACTGCACCTCAAACAGGAATGCCACTGTCAAGAAAATAACAGAATGGGCTCAGGAATACTTCCAGAAAGCATTGTCAGTGAACACAATCCACCGTGCCATCTGCCGTTGCCAGCTGAAACTCTACAGTGCAAAGAGGAAGCCATTTCTAAGCAAGCTCCACAAGCTCAGACGTTTGCACTGGGCCAGGGGTCATTTAAAATGGAGTGTGGCAAAATGGAAGACCGTTCTGTGGTCAGATGAGTCACGATTTGAAGTTCTTTATGGAACACTGGGACGC